CATTCGTCACACTCAGAGCAGGGGGCTGAGATGCCGACGGCGCCTCCAAAGGGCGCGGCGACCGTGCCCGCTTCGTCTCTCATTTGAGGGCGGCATCTTCACTCATGGCACGCTTCTTGACTCAGGAATGTCACCACGTGTCTCCGTACCATGCCCACCGCCGACGGGCGAGGCCATGGGCTCACGGCGATCCACCAAGGTCAAGGCAATCCTTTGTCTCCCTCATCCTCTAAGGCACTCGCGTCATCACCCATCTCCGTGGGCTCCTCCGACTCGAGCTCCGCCTCCACGTCGATCCGACTCACCACCACCCCGACTCGTCGGTTGATCTCCTTCTCCTTATCAAACCTCCTCCGGACCTTCTTGGCTTTCTTCTTCTTCTTGGCAAGCGTAGCCTCCCTCTGGGCAGCTTACCGAACCGCGCCTTCCGGCCCTCTCGGAAGATGCGGTCGGGATTTATAGCCCGCGAGTCCCTTCAAAATGGGCAACTCAAAATAAATCAAAACATCAAAACAAGATGGAAAAGGTCACGGGAAAAAGCATACCAAATTGGATAGCTTCACGACATGAACGGGTCCGGGCATCCCTTCAAGGGAGTCTTCATCCCCCAACTTCAGTGCCCGACCAAGATAACTTCGGACTTCATCTTTTGACAAACTCCTCCGTCAATGCGCGGTCGGGATCTGTCGGGCCGTGGTATTCCAACATCGGCTGCGTCCTTTCCCCCAGCGGGGCAACCCGATGATGGAAGAAGGTGTGCAAGACCCGCTACCCATCAAGGCCATTCCGCACGAGCTTGTAAAGCTTCGGCTCGATGATCGCTAGTTTTTTCTGTTGATGGGAAGGACCCCATGTCCAACTTTCCCACTTCTCCGGCCTTCCCCCAGTAAACATCGGGAACAGCACCTCCACCGGTTTCCGATATAGAACCACTCGCCATGCCACCCCCGGTTAGAGTCACTAGGGGAGTACACATGGTAGGGGACCGACGACTTCGGCCTCTTCTACAGGGCAAACCCCCCAACCGGTGCGGTTCTAGGCGGTTTTCCCTCGGACAGGGCTCGCCTAATGAAGACTCACCAAAATACATCCACATGCGGCTCCATCCCGAGGAAGGCCTCATAGACGATGATAAAGCCGGTGATGTGCAGCACCCCAGTTGGGTTGAGGTGCTGCAACTCTAGGCCCCACTCGTTGAGGAGATCACACAGAAACCAATGCATGGTGTACCCAAGCCTACGCTCATGTAAGGCGAGGAAGGAGATGACCTTGTCGGCCCGGGGTCGCGAAACATCCTCCCCCGACACGGAAGCCCTCTAGTGCGCCACCTCCTTCAACGAAGTAGCCCCTTCACGGTGAATCGGCCAGCACAACCTCATCCACGTTGGAAGGCCTCTAGTTCAACGTCGCACCTCGGATTTACAAACAAATATGTGAGTTTTTCCTCTACCTCGCTCTGCCCTCCTCTCTCCTAGAAACCACTACGGCGCATGAACAAGCTTGGCAAAAAGGAGGAAGGAAAAATGGCAGCAGTTGAAGAAAGGCGAAAGAACGGTGGAAAACCCTCTCCCTTCCCCCTATTTAATGCGGAAATACGTGCGGCCGGACGTGGCCCTGGCTGACGGGATGCGGCCTGCCCGACGGAACGTCGCCTGGTCTAATGGGACGTGGCTTGGGTGGGGCCCACCACTGCCACAACCTGGGTAAGGAAAATGAGGTGCAACCGCACACAAATGACCCTCCGCCTTCCCAGGCAGGATTTGGAGGGGCCCACCGATGGAATCTCCATCAAGGAGAGGCTAGCGGGTCACCCGAGTTGATCGAGACGGCTCGAGCAGCTGCCAAGAGATAGGTAAGGAGCAGTGGTTGGGGTTATGCTAACTCTGTCATGAACGATGGACCCGGATTCCACTCGAACATATCCGATAGGAGCTCCCCAAACCCGTCACTCCAGCCATCAAGGTAACTTTACCAACCCCCATTTTACTTTTCCAGTGCATACATTCGTCCATTCTCATGCATGCATTCATATATTCATCATATATTCATCCATACATTCATCCCATACATACAAGCATTGCATATGCAATTGATGCATCACAACGCTTCGCGTCGCGTCGCGAAGCGGGAGTCGTCTCAATCGATATGAGCGGCGACCGACCGGGTTCGAAGACCGGCCCGCGAAGGGCTCAAGGCCACCTCGCGTCAAATGGAGCCAGAGGAGAAAATGCAAATGAGCCCCAACGGCCCTCGCCCGACCCGCTCAAGAGCGGACAGGGTCATCTCAACATTCTCGTTCGATCATAACCTTGAGCCATTCCCATAGAATCTCCATCGAGGGGGGGCCATTGGGCCACCTGAGTCGCTCTCCGGAATGATTCGGGCATCTACCGAGAGGCGGGTTAAGGAGAAATGGAGTGCCACATGAGGGCTATGCCAACCCCGTCATGAACGATGGATCCGAATTCTACTCGGACATACCCATTAGCAAGCTCACCAAAGCTCGCCACTCGAGCCATCGAGGCAAATGGTGTCAGCTCAACCCCTCTGGTTGCGGAAACCGCGGATAGGGTGACGCAGGAAATCATGCGTCTGACTCCGACCGACCCCTAGTGGCTCGGGGGCTCGAGCTGCCAGGTCCCGACTCAGGAACCCGACCGACCGCATAGGTTGCGGTCGGAATGAACACAAGCGAACACCCCGACCGGAAGAGACATAAGAGTCCACAGCCCTAAAAAAGAGTACCAAGGTGCTCAGCCTCCGACCGACTCCTTAGTCGGCCACAGGCTCGGGGGCTACACTCACCGCACTCGGCGGAAAACGGATTACCAACGAGTCTCCTCCTCAGGGGCTGGGCGCCAATATCCCTCTGGCGCGCCTCCATGGCCTTCGCCAGTCCTCCCCACGGAGGCTGGGCGCCCGTATCCACTCTACGTGCGTCCGCGACCTTTGTTAGTCCTCCACATGGAGGCTGGACGCCTAAATCCTACTCGGTTACCCTACGCAGTACAACAAACCGAGGGGGAAAAACACCGAAGTTCCAATAACAGTTCGCCTCCACGGCACAATGGGTACAAGAATTATAAAGCAAATACAAGCTTTCATTAAGCTAAAAACACAAGCCTCTGGCTTTTACAATATCACGCGAAACGTGTGTGAACAGCCCCTCCACGGCTTCACAGAAGTCCCAAAGGGGCTCGGGGGCTCCTGTCGGGTTCATAAACCGGGGTCCCCAATGGACCCCTTCCCTATAAAACCCAGCCCAGTAGGCGGTGCAGCGATAGCATGCGCCTAGGGCTGGCCCAAATATATAATGACAGGCCAAGACAACGATCCGATCCTCTACCGGAAGGCCTAGTCGAGGTGGGACCGCAGTCCGACTCCGACCCCCTTTCTCCGACCGAGGATATGCCGGACCTCTGCTCGCTGCTCTTTTCCGATCAACACGATCGGGGCCAACTGGGAACGACTGACCGAGGACGCCCGCTCGGTGTGGGCCCGGGAGCAGGCGGAGCAGATAAGGTAAGGCGCTCAAGTCAACAGCAATATCGAGGGTCGTACTTTGCCATGCCATGCGCACCTGCAGGACGGATGCCATCGGGGCATGTCAGGCGAACACGGTAGAGCCTGCCAGACGCGTTAGAGCATAAACAGTATGTAGGCGCTGTCGTTTGCCGTACCAAGCGAACATGATAGAGCCTGCCAGACGCGTCTGAACATGAACAACATTATGGGCGTCGGCGGGCATCCTGTACCTGAAGGTGTGGGCAATAAGACTAAGCAGCACACATATATACTCTCTCTTTCTCTGACTTGTAAGACCATCTTCTTCAACTATAAAAGGAGATGAGCTCTCTCTTGAAAGGCCCCCTGAAGGCTGGACAACTCGAGGACTCGACAGCTCAACAGCTCTAGAGTCCGACAGCTACACAGTCTACATGCTCTCAACAACTGATAAGCTTGGACACACAGAGCATACACTGAGACTTAGTACACGTTTGAGCATCCGTCACTCTCGGCCACTAGGTTTAGAGTCTGACCGGGTCTCTAACACCCCTTTTTATTTTCACTCGTTTGTAACCCCACAACAAACTTCGAGCACCGGGATTAGGAATAAAGTCATCGACCGACTAAAACTGGATGTAGGGCACGTTGCCTAAACTAATATAAATCCCGTGTCATCGCGTGCTAGGCCACGTTGGATCACAACGCACGGCAAAACTACGAATATTTACTTGTTGGCCACATTTCACACCGACACTTATACTGTTCATTTACATGCAATTTTTTTATCTAGTCTTCGACAAGTTATTTGCGTATAATCAGCTATGTTTTTTTTCTTTTCTTTGAGAGATCGTTTGTGCATTTCGCACCGTGTCATGGTGTCGGTTCGCCGGAGCTGGTGGCGATAAAGTCCAGGTGGAACGGGGGCACGGTCTTCTGTTGCACGACAAGCATCACTACTAGAGAACAGACTTTAGAACGATATCCCAATTTAGCATTAGTCTCGGCATTTTTTGCTCCCGGGACTAAATGTTCCTTTAGTCCCAGTTGGTAATACCAACCGAGACTAAATGTTCCTTTACTCTCGGTTGGAACCACCAACCGGGACTAAAAGTCCTCCAACCTTTAGTCTCGATTGTTAATATCAACCGGGACTAAAGGTAGACCTTTTAGTCCCGGTTAGTAACACCAACCCGGACTAAAGGACCCTTTAGTCCCGGTTGGTAACACCAACCGGGACTAAAAGTCTCCCGATGAGTTAGTTCAAAAGAAAAACATCCCATCTATTGTTAGATGTGTTGTGTAGGTGGGGTGGTAAACTCGCGCGAGACAGTGCATGAGGTTTTGGGTTCGAATCTCATAGGACGCAGCGGTGGGAGGTATTATTTTTTTTAAGCTGGGAGAATCTTTAGTCCCGGTTGCGACAAACCGAGACTAAAGAACACCACCTTTAATCTCGGAATGCCAGTCTCAGTTAAGAAATCGGGACTACGTTGTCAGTTATGTAGTAGCCCCATCTCCAGCGACTCGTCCGAGGCCAGGATCTCCCCGACCGGGCCTACCTCCGCGCACTCCGCCCACCCTTCCAGCCCTACCACCAGCTCCGCCGGCTGCCGCCCGCCACGCCCCACCACCACCAGCGCATACGCGCCGGCCATCCCGCGCAGCGCCTCCACCACGTCCATGGGCCCCGTCACCGCTTTCTCCGCGTACGCCGCGCGCTCCTTCGCCACGTACTCGCGCTGGAACTCCGACACGCACTCCTCGTCCGGGTCGTCGACGACCACGGACACCTCCCCGTCGATGTCGGCGCTCGTCGTCGCGACGCGGTCGTCCGTGCTTTCGCGGAGCACGAAGCGGACGACTGTCAGTCTGACAGACTCGTTCTTGGCGAGGCGGCAGGCGAGGGCAACGGCCTCGCGGTCGTCCGGGCCGCCGAGGAAGACGGCGGCGACGTGGGTCGTCACCTTCTCGTCGCCCTGGTTCCCGGCGGCCTCCGTGCTCGTCCATATCTTGGTCGGCAGCTGGAAGCTGGTGCCGCTTCTCCGGAACGGGCGGTCGGCGAGAATGGCCGTGGTGCACGGCGCGCCCTCTAGCACCTTGAGGTTGAGCTGGCGGCGGTCCTCGCGCCGGCAGACCATGGTGCCGTCGTAGTGCTGCTCCTTGTGGTAGGGAATCAGCAGGATGCCCGAGTGGACGTCCTCCGTCCAGCGTCGGATGGCCTTGGCGTTCACGGCGCTGCCGCGGTCACCGGCGTCGATCTGGTGGATGACGAGGCCGGTGGCGCAGGTGAACACGTCGACGGCCCAGTTCACCTGCGTGGTGGCGTCCTTGCGGCGGCTCATGTGCTTATGCTCGCTGGCCTGGCCCCTCTGGTGGTACTGTCTGGGGCGTCGTCCTTGCGCGCGACGTCGAAGAAGTGGAGGACTTGGATGGTGGGCTGCGCGCGGGGCTTGCTCGCCAGCAGCTCGAGCAGGCTGAGCATGCCCGGCGGCCACATCAGTCTTCCTCAGATCCATCAGTCTTACACGTGCACGTAGCATTGGGGTGGGGGCACAGCATGCATTACCGTACCCCTTCGGAAGTGGCGAACCTCATGTTGACGTGGCCTTTGATGTTGAGCAGGACGCCCAAGAGCAGGGCATCGGCGGTCGGCATCTTGAGGAACCTGGCGGCGCCCATGGTGCCGGCGCACTTGCCGATCAAGCCGAGCAGCGTCAGGAGGATGGCCGGAACTAGGATGCCGCCCGACATGGCGCTGAAGTTAAGCCGCATCCCCATGGCGCCGAAATAGAAGGGCAGCGCGAGGGCGTGGAGCGGATACGCCAGCGTGTCGATGATGCTCCTCGCCACGGGGCCTTCCCTGGGGAACGTAAGCCCCAGCAGGAGGCTCACCGGCATCCCGTCGAACCCCACGCGCAGAGCAGCGACACGGCGAAGAGCAGCAGCACCAGCTCCCAGTTGCCGACGCGGTGCCGCCCCGCGTTGCGCCGGTTGATGAACGCCACGACCGGCCGGAGCAGCGACACGGCGATGCCGACCTTGACGAGCGCGAGGATGCCCAGCCCCAGCCGCTGCGGGGCGCTGTAGTCCGGGGTCCTGCTGGAGGCCAGCTTCATGCAGGAGAACACCCCCTCGCCGACGATGGAGATGATGTTGGTGGCGATCGCCGTGGCGACGACGAGGCGGCCGCTGGGCGTGGCCGCGAGCCCCATCTCGCTGCCCATCCGCGAGACGTCGACGGAGGCGGTGTCGGCGATGGACAGCATGAGCACCGCGGCCAGCAGCTCGGGCGACCTCACCGGGGCGTGCATCATGCTGCCGTACATGCCGCCGGAGACGAAGGCCGCGAGGAGCAGGCAGGTGGCGACGCTCGCGTACGTGAAGACGGTGGCCCGGCGCATGTCGTTCCACAGCGCCGCGACGTCCGCCTCCAGGCCGACGTAGAACATGTAGAAGATGCGCGCCTCCGACACGTAGCGGCCGTAGGTGTCCTCCGCGTTCTCCACGTCGACGTGCACGATCACGTCGTGCAGGCCCAGGCTCCCCACGATGATCCCCGCCTGGAAACCGAACGAACGAACGAACGCGAATTAACAGCAGATCCGTGCATTCGGTCCGCAGTGCTCCGATGAATGAACTCGAGAATCGATCAATGCATTGTGTTCGTGCATGCATGACGCGTACGTACGATGATCTGTGAGGTGGCGCTGGGCAGGTTGTGGCGGCAGAGGCCGAGGTGTATGAACTTGCCGAGCGCGATGACGACGGCCGCCTGGAGGACGATGAGGAACAGCGTGTCCAGCGCCACGTTCTTGACCGAGCTGTCGGAGGCGCAATCGATGGATCTCGCCATGCCGCCGGACCGATCGCCGGTCGGTCGCAGGCGTGCCGAATGCCGACGCCGGCTGCGAGCAGGGTCGAGCGGGACGGAGCGGAGCGGGAAGGTTAAGCGGCCGTGCGCCGGCTGGCGAATGCACGGACGGCCCACGGCGGGGTTTGGGCGGCGGGGTCCCTTCTTGTTTCGTTCGTTGGCATTGCCGCGTTGGGTCAGATGTTCGGGTTTGGACGCATGGAGGTGGTCAGGGACAGGCGGGGCTGTGCGTATACCTGGGCTGATCCGTAAATGGTTAGGCCCATATAGATGCACCGAAGACAGCATAACGCATGTTATTAGATCATAAGTTTCTTTTTTTCCTAAAAAAAAGATCATAAAGTAGGGACACATGAAACCCATCTAATGATGTATGCATGAGAGCCTAGTGCATACTGTATGCACCCAATTTTTTTTCCACATTAGAAGACCTCCGTGATCAGTTTGAGGCAATACCCTGTTATTATTTTTCAATTTTTGAATCTAAGCTAACTTTTTATTGATGTTTGTTAGTGACAGAGTAAGCTCCTTATGTTGTGTGAAGGACCCTCGTGGATATTTGGGTTTAGAAGCATTTGATCTTAGAGATCCACATATCCGCACTAGAGGTGGATATCGACCTAGCTCGCCTCGGTTCAGCTCCTTAATATACCAAGCTAGCTTGGTGCGGCTCAATAATCAAATTAGAAACGGGGCATAGCCACTGGTGGATCCACTTGCACGCCTTGCACCGCTCACTAGATTGAACGGTTTTGCTCTAAACCAGTGTGTACCCTTAGATCGCAATTGCTCAGCGATCAAGGACACATCAAAAAAGAGAAGTCAATCGCTTAGGCCTTTCGTTTGTTCTCAAATTCAAAGGGATTGAAGGGAGTTTGAGATGAATTTTGGAGATTTAACCCCCCTGCAATCCCTCTCAATCCTCTTGGCTTTGAGATTAAATGAACATGCCCTTAGTGTGTGTCTTCGAGAAAAGGAATGGAATGGAGCATGAAGTTCACCTCACGAGGTGGCTACTGGTTGCAGGCGTTTTATGCGCCGACAAAACCACGAACTGTTTTTTAGCCCTAAGAAAACCGAGGAGCTCATGATAGCCCACGGTCATATGGACGATTGTGAGGACAAGACATCACACCGCTATCCCCTATCGACGACGTTTGGCTTTACTCTAACTCATTCGAATTTGCATAGGAGTATATTATAATGGATTAGATAAAATTAGTTATTTTTTATTATAATTTATTGACATAGATTGGCATGTAAGGGTAGATGAAGGCGTATTTGGTAGCCCTCCGCAAGGGCTTCAGCAACCAAACGTTAGTTATTAGTAGCTTAGCTCCGTTCGAGAAACCCGAAAAAAACTGATGCGAGGAGCGCGCAAAGGCCAAAGGGGGATTCGCGCGGCCCGTCTCCTTCATGTGGGCCTAGCGTGTCGTGTGGTTTGATTTGCCTATGGGCGGGCAGCTGCTGAGTGCCGAGTTGCAACAACGTGAGACGCGACCACATGGGGCTGCCAAGGAGGGAGGCCGGTGGACGTGTGCTGCGTGTATTGGATCAGGAAACCAGCGGGATAGAAGAAGACGAGCGGATAAACAAAAGAAAGAAAAGTAGAAAAAGGATAAACAAAGAAAGAGAAAAAAGATATATCTACCTATAATACTCAATCCATCCCAAATTATAAGACGTTTGACTTTTTAACATCAACCACTCATCTTATTCAAAAATTTGTGTAAAATATCACTTCTTTCGTCGTGGTTTGGTTTATTAATAAAAATTCTTCAAGAATGACTTAAATTTGACTATATTTGCATAAATTTTTTTAATAAGACGAGTAGTGAAACTTGGGTCAAAAAAGTCAAACGTCTTACAATTTGAGATGGAGGGAGTAATAAATAATAATATAATATAATATTATTATATTATATATATATAATAAATACTTTTATATTATATATGCACTTGTAGACGTACGGCGGCATCGTTATTGTTACCCTGTTTGTTTTTGTCGTTTCCTTCCCTGCTTCCCTCCATGTAGCGCAAGCCGCCAGGAAGTTTCCAGGCCGCTCCCGAACTCCCCGTCCCTTTCAGAAAAGAGACCGGCAACCAAAAAAAAAAACACATCATCTCGCGAGGCCTGCGCCTCAACCACGCGACGCTCGCTTTTGCCGCCCGTGCCGCGTCCAGGGCCGCCGTGTCTCGGCCGCCGTCGTCCGGCCCCCCATCACGCGCCGCACCTGCGTCTTCCTCGAACCAGCTCGCCACGCCTGCACCTCACCCACGGGACGCTCGCCTTCGCCGCCGGTGACGCGTGCAGGGCCGCCGGGTGCCTCGGCCACCGACCAGCGCGCCGCCGCACGCCGGTTTCCCGGGCCCTCTCGACGGGACCTTCTTCGGCGACGAGCGACCAACCAGGTATGCCCACCCCTTCCCTTGCCGTACTGCTGCACGAAGCCAGAGCACCGAAACCCTAACCTATGCTATTTGGCTATTTCTATTCGGCTCGCATCTGATTACTGGATTTGCAAGCGTGTTATGGCTATCCTGAAGTATCTCTTCGATTTCCAGTTAATTGATTGGATTGTGAGTGCCGTGTCAATACGCTAAAAAGAATACCTCTTCGGTGACCATTGTTTCTGCACAGTTCTAAGCTTCTAATGCTGACAAAATACGTAGCAGCACCCAATTTTCATAATAAACTTTTGCAGGTTGGGATAAAAAGAGCAATGGCTAAAATATATCGGTTATCAGGTCCAGTTGTTCTACAGCTGACACAACTGGATGCAGATCAACCCCTCCAAGGTTTGGTCCCTTCATAGATACGCTCATGATAAATGTATGCTGTTGTTCCCAACATTTTCAGCCTTCCATTGGATTATGCTTATGTCAAATTTCAGATTGCGTATATGCATGTTCCTATTTATGGAGCCATCCAATTTCAGCACAAAAAATTTGCTCAGCTATTACCATAGTTACCATTAAAATTTGTTCCTTACACTTCATATTTATATGCTTATTAATTTCTTTGATTTACATGTTCTAATTTCTATGGTTGCTATTGTCATATAATTTAGTATCTTAGTTCGAGAAAAATATAATATAGTATCACTACATATGAAAGACCTTACCTGTTTGTATGATAGTTTCAGTAGGGCCTCATAATCTATTTGCTTCGCCCTGTTCGTTTGGGCTGGTTTGGCTTATAAGCCATGGCTGAAAGTAATGTTGGCTGGTTTGGTGTGAGAGAAAAACACTATTCGTTGGCTAATAAGCCATGGCTGAAAGTACTGTTGGCTGGTTTGGTGTGAGAGAAAAACACTGTTCGTTGGCTAATAAGCCATGGCTTATAAGCCAAATACGACTAAGCGAACAGGCTGGATTACTAGGACCACATCATCCAGAAGACCAAGACGATAACCGGTAACTATTGAGCTCAATTCTATACATACAAAACAGACCATCTTGGTTGCCTGAGTCATTACTATGGGCTTCGACATACTGAGCTTGACATAGCCCTTCTTCAACCACAAAGTTTGTATTTAGGATGTAAAATAATATGCGTTTCTGCAGTTTTGAAATGTTATTTTTACCGTTCAATAACAAAATCCGTGCATCATGAAGATTGCCACGTTGTAAACAGATAACTAGGGATCCCACAGTTTCTTTGATTGCTCAGTAGTAGCAAATCCCACAGTTTCTTTGATTGCTCAGTAGTAGCAATTAGCTTAGCCCTTCAGTTCTACTAAAATATATAGAGCAACACATTTTGGTGCAAGTTCCAGTTCAATTAATTTTTTCAATTGTCTTCAAATTTTTCATTTGTCTTCTATTTTGTAGGTTTGCCTCATTTGCCTAATAAGCTACAGGTACATGGATCTCCATTCTGCTGATATCAGTTATGGTATTTACAATATTACATGTCTTTTGGATTTTTTTTTTGTTTAGATACCTAAACTCAGCTGTTACCCCCCAAAAGTACCCAGTTTAATTCTGACGTCGGGGATATGTACTTGCTAGAATAAGTCCATGAGTTCAATTATGCCCTCCATATAACTTCAGAAAACTCTCTGCCTACATCCCGATTCTATAGCTACATTTAGATAGCGATGTTCTTGCAGGTTAACTGCATCGCATCACCGAACAGAAGACCTATTAGGTTCCATCTGCCATTTGCAAAGGTCACTATGGAGTGTCATATCCCTTCTCATTGTTCCATGACATCCATTGGTACCAAGCAGGTATGATGATGTGCGTACCGTTTTGGACATTTTTCTAAATGCATTGGCTTCCTCTAAAATTGAGACATATATGCAGCAAAATAGCATCTCCATGCTATAAATAGAGAAATCAGTGGTAGGTTTGGCATTCCCCTATTCGGTGTACAACCACTCAAACACAACAGGGAATATAAATAAGCTCACCATAGTCTGTACCAGCAAGATATTTAACAAATCTAGCTATCGCCAGTTGCATGCGCAACAAAGGTCAAGAATTGTCTTAGTCGTTCAAAGCCAACGTCATTCAAAAGTCTTATTTTGTTTTCAATTTCCACTCAATACATATTATACCGCACACCTAGTCAGAAGTAGGACTGCATCAAAAAATGCATGGTAGCATTAACTGATATCCATGAAACTATGTTAACGGGCTTTTACTATATATGCCTCAAATCAAAAAGCCGAACTGTGTCATTTTCTTACATTCCTTTTCCTATATGTTTGTAGATGCCAAACCATGGTTCTGTTCATGATGGTCCTTCGCGAAAAAAACTGCTCCAGTTAGCTCCATGCCTTTGCTTCCTACAAGAAAATGTGGTGCCCGGAATAGGCCAAATGTATCTATGTATGCTATATCACATTTGTTGCAGTTGTTGCAGTGTGTATTTTGTATTTGCCTTCTACGATGAACAGTTGTGCTTCTGACCTCTGCAATTGCTATCGGCCTGATTGTTTTGGCCTATACAAAGCATCCTCTGAATTTTATTT